ATGAAATTGGACTTTAAATATAAGTTTTCTTTTAAAAGAAATGACAATATCATAGGAATCTGTAAAATAAAAGATCCGGTGGTCTTGGACTTGGACTTGGACCGATACTATTACACTGAAGCGGAAACCAGAGACCTTAAGCCCCCAGACCAGTATACCCCATTGATCCAAGTGCGATTTGAATATAAAAACACGCCATGGGGACATCACAATTAATGATGATGCATCCTTTTTTTTTTCCCCCCTTTGTGGGCGATACATAATGATGATGCATTCGACGTAGACGCTATACATACATGTATTTAAATTGAAATGATCAGTAACCTCTGGTAACTTTAAATTGGCAACAAAAAAAAAAAAAAAGCTATGATATTTCTAAACAGGTCCATTACTTCCAAATTTCCAATTGGTTTATCCACAACGTTATTATGAATATCGAAGGCATGCTTCGTCCATAGTACCGATTTATGATCACTTGAACAAATCCTCTAATTTTTTTGAACGAAAAGGGATATAATATTGGGGGAAAAAGTTCAATAACAGCTTCAACTACTTCATCCGCCTTGCTGATGTTAATTTCGAAGGTCAGCTTCCCAAAACATCATGTTCCAGTCTTCAGATGCCACGGAAATGGAGCTTCTACTGAAGCATCACTGTAAATTGTAACGAAATGGAATAAATATTGCACTTAAATACTAAGACGTGCATGTGACACAGATTATTTTTCAATTCCAACAACATACCAGAGGATCGCCGAACAAAGGCTCCACCCTCCTTTTTCGTCTTTTTCCTGGCAGTGGCCACCATCATACAAACATCACTACAGTAGTGAGCGGGCACAAATAGTATCAGGGCGTCATTCCCAACTACCTCGCCTGCGTTCCTCACCAAATGCACTTTTATTGCCTTATGCTGTTCATTTATTAGCGCGTAAACAACTCAGAATTTACGTTTCAGGAAAAAATTCTGGTTCATATCAGTGATTGCAACAAAATGGACCCAAGGAATCACAACTATGAAATCCATCCAAGAGTTTGCAAAGTCATAGTGACAGTAAACAGTTAAGAATGCATAAGTACGGTGAAAACAGCTAACATCAGAATTCTCGCAATTCAGAAACAGAATTCAGCCATTGCTTAACTTGACCAGGACTAGGAACTCGAACTTGATCCTAAGGATATGGACGGACAGGAGTGAATTTTCACAGTCCGATCCAGAATCAAGCTTGAACTTGGCTAGACCAATAGCTAGTGTAATGCAATAGACTCACTCAGTGTTGCAGCGGCAATGCGAACTTAACAATGGTTAGGCTTTAACAAATTCCGCGGAAAATCACTTCAGAACCACAATTTCACAGAAAATTCAGGTGAATAACTCAGATCAGATTTCCAGAGAGCCGAGCAGGCATTAAACAGCTAAGTGGACGAAAGTGCTGCCTGTGAGTCAACTTACGTGTGGCATGTGAATCATATTACTTGGGGAAGGGATTTCAGAACAGGAAAGCAACAAGTTTATTTAAGCCAATAAACCAGCAAATCAAAGTTCAATGCTCTCACGCTTACGTATGAGTTCAGCAAACCATAAGACAATACAGGTGAAGAAATCAGATCAGATTTTCAGAGAGTTAAGCACGCATTAAACAGCTACAAAATGAAGAAAATGTCTCAGAGTGCTCACCAGTTTGCAATCAGATACCGCAGTTGCAAAGTTTCAGTGCCCTAACTTGAACTACAGAGGCTGATTTAGCAAAAGTGTACGAGGTAACTACAAAACGAGAAATACCTTGAGGCAGAGCTGGTGACACTTTCTGCAGCGAATGAAAAGCAACTCCCGCACCTGGAAGAATCGTACAATCGCACATGAGAAAAGTGCGCAAGAAAAGAAATCGAGGGGGAAAAAATTCCTGAAAGCTCTTACAGTTGCGTGGAACAGTTTGAAGGGCAGAGCAATCAGCCAGATGCAGGAACGAAGGAAGAACACGATAGGAAAGAACAAGAACTGCAGCCAATTCATGGTTAGATCGCCGGCGTGAAGGTGGTCTATCAGTCCTCAGAATCTCCGTCTCTCGCTTTCTCTCTTCTCCTCCACTCCAGCGTTTATGGCATGTTTCCCTCCCTCTCCTCCCTTTTAAAGGGATTTCAATGAGTCCGTCCGTCGTCCGCACTTACCACTCTGTTTCCCGACTCCTCTATCTCCTCCAGCGTGTGCTTTCTGCGTGTTTCCCTCCCTCGCTCCTCTTTTATTTTAAATAATTCAAAAAGGAGAGAAAATTTCCAATAAAATTTTAGTTCTTTTTAGCTGAACTAATAAAATTATGGTTGAATTTATAAAATTTCAAATGATGATTTAAACTTACAAAATTCTAAATTAATCATAATGACTAAATTAAAATGTTAAAATGTGCAAGTTTTCTTAATTTTGAATTTACTAATGTGATTGACTTTTTTAGTTTGTAATGTGGTTTTGAGTTTGTATTTGTTTTCTGTATTGTTTTGTCCTTATGATTGTTTTTTTTTTGATATGTCGTAGTTTTTTATTTGTAATGCAATAAAAATTTTCTTTATCAAAAAAATAACGTAATTAACAGCATTTTTAATAATATTTGTAGTTTCATTAAGATTCTTAATAGAGTTGTACATATTATTATAAGAGCTGTAAATGACATAATGTAGCTCATCATTAAAAGATAATTCAAATTTTTAAATATGAACTATAAAAAGTAGAATAATCTCGAATGAAAAATATCTAAAACAAATTCTTAAAAGATATGAAACTTTTATGTTTATTTAATGTGATAACTCTCATAAAAATTCTATATACCCAAAATAAAAATAGTGAATAAGAAGTTAAAAGATATATAAAAAATTGAAAAATGTTAATTTTTTAATTTCCGCATCCTAACACGAGTGGAGCTTGCGTGCGTTTCTCCTGTGTTTTGCTCCCCCCTTCCCCTTTTAATATAATTTTAATGAAATTAAATCCCTTCAATTTAAGCTTTTTTCCCCCTCAAAAATAACTTTGAGAAAATTGACGAAAAGTATATATAAAATTTTGTAAATAAAAAAAATAATATTTTTTTTTATATTTCTAAAAATTTCGTAGACACAAAATACCAGCACTGTGACAATGATTTGAGTTCATCAATTGGGACTGACATTAAACCAACGCACAATTTTAAACTGGTTTGTTAAATTAAATAAAATTTTTTTCCCAAAAATGAGTTAAACTAAATTGATAATCATGCCATAATATAATAAACCAAGAATATATAATTAGTTTATTTTCATATAAGGTGGCGATTAATAAAATTCATAAGAGTGAAAATAATAACGGAATATGTTTTCATTTTCAACACATCATCCCCGACGATGAACCAGTGAGCTTGCAAAGAATATTGATAATTTCTTTACAGAGACTATCAAATAAATTTAAATTAAGTATGGATGGTTCATATCCTGATAACTGAAATAAAAAATAAACTGAAATGGATTTTAAATACTATCTTAACTTCTTAATATAAAGGCTAGCTGATTAATTTGAGTAGATAAAAAAGAAGTTAAATTAGTTATTTGTTATAGATATGTATTATCTTTCTTAAGATATCTTTGCTACTTAAGTATATTAGTTGAAACTCCCATTATTATAAGGATTATCTTTTTAAAAAAAAGATAAATATCAAAAATAAAATGGATTGAGATTTTATATTTAGAACTAAAATAAAATTAAATAACCTCTTATATAAAGATAGAAGGTACTATATTTCTTTGTGTTTTTTTGGAAATGACAATTTTACTCAAATAATAACTAAAATAGGACATCCGGAGAACTTGGACCTCTACTATTACATTGCAGCAAAAACCCAGAAGAGCTAAAGCCCAGATCACTTGACGAGCCTAAACAGAAAAACAAAAGCCCAACGAACTTGAAAAATCAGTTTGGCATCTCACGTAAGAGATATAAATAGGAAAATTGCAACGAAGATTGTAATTTCACATATTGAGGTTTTTATTTATAATTTTTCTATAACATATCTGTGCATTTGTCATTTTATTTCAATAAATATTTCAAACAAATAAAACACCTCAAAAAACGCCGCCATTGATGAAGTGGAAGGGCACAACTCAGAAACATTTTTCGGAGAAGGGAACCATTGAAAATTGATGAACTTGGAAAGATGTAACCGTCGAACTGCAAGAGGAAAAACAGACTATACTAATTGGAAGAGTTGCGTAAACAAAAAAATAAAAATTAAAAAAAAACAGGATGCCATTGAAAGAGGATTGCTTCAAGCTCCACCGGCTGGACGAGGTGCTTCCTTTCAAAAAGGATAATTTCATCAAACATATTGAATATTTGAAACATAACAAATATAACGTGTAAAGCCTGGTAAACTCAATGATATCCTCTAATTATTTTTTTTCCCCCTGAAAACCATCAAGCTGTCTCACTGACCAACTGGTAACTATTTATTAAGATCTTTTTTTAACTTTTATAATGTGATTAACTTGTTTTAGCCTTTGATGTAGTTGAGTCTGTATTTTTTTACTTTATTGTTTTGTCCCTATGATTGTGATTTTTTTTTTGAATATGTTGTAATTTTTTATTCTTAATGCCGTAAAAAAAATTTGTCAAAAAACTAATGTGATTAACAACTCTTTTAGTAATATTTAGAATTTCATTAATGTTATTAATAGAGTTCTAAATATTGTTATAATAATTTTTAATAAAAGATCAAATAGACAAGATAATTCAAATTTTTAATTTTTAAATAGAAAATATAAAAATAAAATAATCTCAAATGAAAAATATCAAAGACAAATTCTTTAAAAATCTGAAAATTTTATGTTTTTTTATGTGATAACTCATGAAATTTCTATACGGCCGAAATAGAAATAGTGAATAAGAAGTTAGAAGATGGGGAAAATCCTCAAAAAGATAATCAATAGTGATTACAAAATAGTGTTGTCATTTTCTTCTGAAGGTGAAAGAAGATTCCAAGCATGGAAGCTCTGAGGAAGAAGCGGCTCAAGGTGGGAATACGTCTTATTCTATTGGTGTTCTTCGTCTTGAGTTCTTCAGCTTGGACTGGTGAAATCCATGGCAGAGTTGTTTGTGATGTCTGTGGCAATTCTTCTATAGAAGGTCCCCCCCCCCCCAAAAAAAAATAGCACTATCTTTCACCTCGGTGTCCTTCTGATTGGGTTGTCCAATTGGATTTCTGATTTTATGCCGAAATTGGTTTTCATTTTAATTGAATTGCATTGTTTTTTTTCCTCAACTGGTGGACTCAGCTGATGATCCTGCTTTTATGAGCTTGCTGAAGGGTAGTTTGGTTATATAGGGGCTGTGGAAATAGGTTGAAAGAGAGTCTTAATTTAGTTTTGTACCATCTGTTTCATATCAAGCATTATTGCAATTGAATTTTCAGCCTTTCAATTTGGTCACCCCACTGTTTTCATCTTCAGTCACAAATAGCTTATTTGATCTAAAGATTTGTTGGATGCGTGCGATTTCTTCAATCTTATATTCGGTTTAGATATAAAATTTGTTAGCAAAGCTGAAGTAGAATCCGTGTCATAAGATGGCTTGGTGTTTTACTCGATTGTTCTTGCAAGCCTTGATGAAGAATTTGATAGCCTGCTTTAAGCTTGCTGCTTCGTTGGAATGACATGACTTTAGTTTAACCAGTTACCATTCTGACCAATCCGTCAAGCTAAACTTTAATCATTGGCAAAGATATAGTTCTTTTAAAAAAATAAATAAATAAAAATCGATTCACTGACTGATTAGTATCACTTCACCTTTCGCCCAATGTTTTAGTTTGTGATTCCCAACGATGGCAAGGATTGAAGTTCGGAAGGAGCTTTGTAATAATGTTATTAGAGCCCTTGTGAATCATCCGGATACAATTTTAATAAATTATATTTCACTTTTCAAAACCATTTTCTTCGCATTCTCTTGCAACACAATTGCTATTGTTTGCTTATATTTATCAACAACCAGAATATTTTGGGTCACATTGCTGCATTCCACTCAGGCAAGTTCAGGCAGAGAGGTATGAATGTAGTAGACTGCCTTACTGTCCTTACAACTGACTTCATTAGAGTTAGCATTGGAGCCCCTTGAGTAGTGAATATTTTCAAGACTAAACTTGTTGGAACAACCTGTTTTCTACAGAGGATGTGAATCAGGAAAAGTGTTTGTGTCGCTTAGATTTTGCAGTCAATAGTTGTCTCATTCACTAAGACTATATGCTTTTGATGGATTTGATTTATTGAAATAACTTTGTTCCTATTGTTCTCTATTCTAGGGCCAAAGCTACTTGGAGTAAGTTGTAATCTCCATGATTTTACATTGGGAAACTAGGGGCAGCTCAAGGGTTTTCCTCACAATCATCTGATTTATTTTCATTTTTGCAATCGGTGAAAAACTATTCAAACAATCTGAATACTCAAAACCTTCAAGTTTCCATCTTAAAATACCACTTATGTAACTGCGATTCACACATTGTGGGGTCTTGCAACCTAGTACGTTGATTCTGCCACTTGAATAAAATTTATCGAATTGATTTTTCTTTCTAACCTGCTGTATTTGAATTCTGTTCACCAATAATATCACATTTGAACCAAGTAATTGATTTGGTTGATACTGCTCATCAGTTTGATGGCACAATTCCATCTGCCTCCCAGGATTATAATTGAAGAGTAATGCAACAGAGGTAATAGCAATATTATTGTCCTCTGGAAGTGAAACTAGTCCCTTTCTCCAGCAAAACAAATGAAAAATAAGATGTATTTCAAATGCTTGATGCGACCTAGGATTCAGATTTGGCAGATCAATCCATAACATGATTAACTATCAATATTCTGTTAGTTTTCCTAAAATGTGACTGTGACTGCTTTGATGCAGGTGCTGAGGTTGCTGTTCTTTGCCTCACAAAGTCCGGGGAGGTTCTAAATTACCAGGCATTCACAGACACTAGAGGGATTTACACTGTTGCCGAGACAATGCCCGAGAGCGATCATTGGGATGCCTGTCTTGCTCGTCCCATTAGCAGCTTCCATGAGCAGTGCACCGAACTCGGCAAGGCCTGCTCAGGGGTGAAGTTCAGCTACAATCACCCATCAGGTTATTCCCACATAGTTAGAACTTCCGTTTACCGACCTTCTAGCCTTCCAACCTACTGTATTTGATCTGCCCTGGCCTTGCTACAAACCTAATGGTGACCATACTTGGTTAAACTGCAAGGGAAACTAAGGAGTACATGAGCAATTCATGCTATACTATGCGCGCGCGCGTGCACACATATATGGAGTGTTGTCTGATATTTATTATTACTATGGAGCCTAGTTGAAGTGAAGGTGTGAACTGTGAGTCTATGACCAAAGGACTTGTGAATGACATTGTCATTGACAGTGACAGTGGACCATGTTCATTGTAAGGAGTTTGAGAAGTGAACCATACTGTTTGTAACTTATGAATAGTTCTTTTTTTTAATAGTTTTTATATTATATATTATTAAATTGTTCAGTTTTCATGTACATCATTGTTACTGCAGTGAGTCTTTTAGTCACATCCTTGCATTATAGCAAGTGCAAGGCATTGTGAAGGAGGTCATAAATAATAACCTAGCTTGTGTGTGTTTGGATATTTCTGTGTTAAATTTGATCCATCCCCCCCGGGGGTTGCCGCCCCCAGGGGGGACAAATGCAAGAAATTGACAATTTTAAAGAGTTGGGGGGGGGGGTAATTTTGAAGAAGGTGAATTGAGGTGAGGCATTTATCTATATGGTCAGTGGAGTGGTCCATTAATTAGGTATATGCGTTTACTGGATGTAAAATTGTAAACTGTATTCTTAACAATTGGGATGGCCAATTCCATTTATTCCTAAGGATGGAAAATTCCATTGATTTCTAAGCTCAAGAAAAATTTAAAATCTTATCCTCAAAGTGTTCAGAGGTTTCCTAAGGTCAAGGTTTGCATACAAATTGTTTACTAATTAAGTCTTTACATCAATCGATAGTGGGATTTGAATATGCGATGTTATGGGTTATGAGTAAGCTTTTTATCAAGTGAATCAACTTTTATCGGCAATAGAACACTGTTATATAACCGGTAACATTGCGCAACCAAGATGAAGGCCAAAACAGAATCAACATAAGCAAGCAGACCAGCGAATAAAGGAAACAACCTGAAGCCCATCCTTGCCATCGGACACTAAGATACCATTTGGTATGAATTATTAAAAATGAGGGATAACAATTAGAATTAGGATCGAAAAAATCTATTAAAAGAGTATTTAACATGAGTGATTATTCATTAAATGGGATTATACAAACTCATATATGTGGGATTGAGAAATACTACAGGGAAAATTGGTATTCTCCAATACTACTTTCATAGGTTTGCCTAATCTCATCTAACAAGTACTTAATCATGCTAAAAACTTTTTTAATGGTTTTTTTTCAATTATAATCTTACTTCCTATCCCCCATTTTCAATATTTCGCACCAAACAGGACCTGAGAATCCAGCTTGACTCCACCGAACTAAAACAAATAGGAAAAGGCATAGAATTAGGTAAGATGAATCTTTCCCCCCTTAATCTAGTCAATGTGTTGGCCAAAAAAAAAAAAAGATAATCTCATATTTGAACAGAATCAATATCAATCATATTTTATGGAGAAAATGATATAAAAAGAAGTTAAAAATTGTAATATTTCAATTCGGGTATCTAAGATTTCAAAATTGTAGGGAAGGAAATTATGCCTGATTTGATATTTTGCAAATATAGTTAAATAACAAAATGCCATTGTATCAAAAAATTTATTAACAAGTTATGAACTAATAATGATAAGTATTGAACAGTAAATTAGAAGAAATGTATTGATAATAACAAGTTATTTATTAATAAATTATGAACTGATAATAATAAGTGTTAAACAGCCAATAATAATAAATGTATTGATAATCGCAAGTTTGATAGCTTTTTTTTAAAAAAAAAGAAAATCTAATACGAGTACATTTTAGCTATTCGATTACATTTACAAAATATTAAATTAAGCACCACTTTCTTTCTTTTTATATTGTTTTCCCTACTTTATATTATAAATAGAGGCAAGAAAAAAATTGAGATAATAATTATTTACCAAATTAATAGTAAATAAATTTTATTTCATCAGTTTTTTTCAAAAAATAAATTTATTTTATTTTTTATATCAAATATTAATCGTAATTAATAAATTATAAATCCATATTCTTCACCCAAAGAAAATCAATACTGAGAGTCTGAACTCTGAAACTCTAGTTCCGACTGGCAAAAGCGAAGGGCTTTGGTGAGGGAGAACAATATACAGAAATGGTTGTTGCAGACAAAAGAAGAGGATGAAAGTGGCAGCAACGCTGAGACTCGTGGTGGGTTCCGTCACAAGGCAAATTCTCCGTCCTCAACCCTCTTCCACCCTCGAACATCTGTCCGTCAGGGTGGAGGCGGGGGGGCGACGGTGGAGGGAGACCACTAGCTCGGAGGGCGAAAGGCACAAATTAAAAAAATTTGGAAGAACTATAGTGTTTGGGTAAATAATTTTTCTTCTGCAGCATTTTGAGGGATATTTTCTTTTCTTCCGGTTTGTTACTTGAAAAAGCCTCATTTTATGTATGAAAGGGCAATTTAAACAAGCCTATAGCAAATGCATGGGCGCTTCTTGTCCTCCGCATTTTAACATCTCTTATGTGGCTGCCATTTTTCAAAGTCGAGTTTCACATTTCTCCACCATTTCTCTGAAATCTCACTTGTAAAAAGGGCACTTCGTGTATCTCAAAGAGCAATTTGTCAGCCTTTGTAACAAAGGATACATTAAAGAAGCATTTTATTTCTTTCTACCTAAGATATGGGAAGAACCCAATCTGTTCTCTCATCTACTCCAAGCATGCATATTGAGAAAGTCCATGCCCTTAGGGAAACAACTCCATTCTTTGATAATCACATCCGGGACTTCCTCGGACAAGTTCATTTCCAATCATCTCTTGAACCTCTACTCAAAATTTGGAGACCTACAGACAGGTGTGACTTTGTTTCATCGTATGCCCAAGAGGAATACAATGTCGTGTAACATTATGATTAAAGCATATCTTCAAAATCGTGATTTTGAGAGTGCTAATACGTTGTTTAATGAAATGTCGGAGAGAAATGTTGCAACATGGAATGCAATGGTCACAGGATTGACCCAGTTTGAAATGAATGAGGAGGCTATGTCATTGTTCTCAGAAATGAACAACTCGGGATTCATGCCTGATGAGTACTCCTTAGGTAGCATACTTAGGGGATGTGCACATTTGAGAGCTTTGTTAGCAGGAATGCAAGTTCATGCTTATGTGATGAAATGTGGGTTTGAGCTTAATTTGGTTGTGGGAAGCTCTTTAGCTCATATGTATATGAAAGTTGGAAGCATGCAAGACGGAGAAAATATTATCAAATCAATGCCAATTCATAATGTTGTTGCTTGGAATACACTTATTGCTGGAAAAGCACAAAATGGGTATGCTGAGGAAGTTCTGAATCACTACTGTTTGATGAAGATGGCGGGTTTTAGGCCTGATAAGATTACTTTTGTGAGTGTGATTAGTGCCTGTTCAGAGTTAGCCACCCTTGGTCAGGGGAAGCAAATTCATACTGAAGCAGTCAAAGCAGGAGCTAGCTCTGTAGTTGCCGTAGTTAGTTCACTAGTTAGTATGTACTCCAAATGTGGATGTCTGGAAGACTCCGTCAAAGCTTTCTCAGAATGCGAGGAACCAGATGTTGTATTATGGAGCTCAATGATTGCTGCTCATGGTTTTCATGGGAAGGGGCAAGAGGCTATCAAACTCTTTCATCAAATGGAGCAAGAAAAATTTCAGGCAAATGAGGTTACGTTCTTGAGTTTGCTATATGCTTGCAGTCATAGTGGACTGAAGGACAAGGGGCTCGAGTTCTTCAATTTGATGGTCGATGTGTATGGACTCAAGCCTTGGTTAGAACATTATACCTGCATGGTTGACCTACTCGGTAGATCTGGTTGTTTGGAGGATGCTGTGGCTATGATACGAGAAATGCCTGTGAGGGCTGATGCAATTATATGGAAAACATTGCTATCTGCATGCAAAATCCACAAGAATACTGAAATGGCAAGAAAAATTGCTGAAGAAGTTATTAGGATAGATCCCCACGACTCAGCTTCTTATGTTCTTCTCTCAAACATTCATGCCGCGGCTAAGAGTTGGCAGCATGTTTCCGAAGTGTGGAAAGCCATGAGAGACAGGAAGGTGAAGAAAGAACCTGGTATTAGTTGGGTAGAACTGAAGAATCAAGTTCACCAGTTCACTCAGGGTGGAAAATCCCACCCAATGTCAGTGGAGATTGATTTGTATCTAGACGAACTAACTTCAGAAATGAAGTTCCATGGCTATGTCCCTGATACTGCTTCCGTTTTGCATGACATGGATAATGAGGAGAAAGAATATAACTTGGCACACCATAGTGAAAAATTGGCCATTGCTTTTGGTTTAATGAACACCCAAGAGGGCGTGCCCATAAGGGTGATGAAGAACCTGAGGGTTTGCAGTGATTGTCATGTTGCCTTCAAGTTCATATCCAAGATAAAGAATCGAGAAATTATAGTGCGAGACTCTACCAGGTTTCATCATTTAAAAAATGGCATGTGCTCTTGTGGAGATTACTGGTAGTTGTCGGATTCTTTCTTCTCATGGGTGTACTTGGACAGTGCTGAGTTCGCTCTACTTCATTGACCTGGTTCATTTGGTTGACTTGGCCAATTGAGTGGCAAGGATATCTCTAAAACTCTTATTTATGCGCTCTCTGAGCTCAATGCTGATGCTTTCTCTTGCTAGTGATGAAGAATTCCAAGTTGTTTACAATTTCATTAACTAGTTAACTCTCATTGCCATATACAAATTTCAGTAAAAGCTTAACTTGCTGTATTGGACGTTTTTTTCACTTTTACCAACGTGGTATATATGGACTCACCTACTATGCTTAAGAACAAGAAGTTTGGCATAAATTTCAAATTTTTTGAAATTAGGGCTTCTTATCTGATATTTGATTTGAGTGAACAGGTGTGAGTCAGCATTCTATCAGGACCCATGTTAATTTATGGATTTTTAGATGAGATGAATGAGAGTGAAGGAATTATAATTATCGGAGTTCAAATTGAAACAAAATATCTTTGTTTGATCGTTAAACACTAAATTGAGAAGGCACCTGAGGAAGGGAAACAGGGCTTTGCTCTCGTAATTCGATTGTTTATCTGTGATGTCAAACGAGGTTCTAGAAGTGAATGGAACTGATATTATCCGCAAAAATTGCACCAGGTTTCTTCCCTTAAACAATCTTAGTGGGTTGGAAGGGCCAGTAAGCCCTTGTAGATCCAAAATATAAAAGCCCAACTTAAGTATGGAGAAAAGGAATGAAGCACAGAGAAGTATTTGAGTCTGAAAACGACTAATGGCTCATTGCAAATGGAAAAGCATAAATAAAACAAGTTATACTGATTGAAAAGGTCATGTTAAAACGGGGGCAAGTATTTTTAACTAAGTAGCAGATATTGGCCAACGAAATGCAACATAGGACTGGAATCTTTTAATAGAATAATCCTTTAATCAGCTAAACGAACGTCGATGATGACAGACGCAATTGGAATTTTAGGATTTCTTGAAGGCACCACTGGGAGGACGAGGTGGCTGTCCCGGTTGAGCAGCACGAGGTAGACCATCCTATAAACAACCATATAAATTTGATCACACATAGTAAGCATGGGAAACAAGAAAAGAAATTTTTCGCCAAAAAAAAAAGAAAGAAAGAAATGACTTTGAAGGAACTAAATGCTGAAAAATACACTCGGGACGCTTGTTAGCAGTGATTTTAAGATTGTCCAAAAGTGTGATTTTTTTTTAAAAAAAATCACCGTTTATTTGAAAATGTTCGTTAAATTAATCATAAGCTATTTGAAATCATTTCCTGCAATAATCAAAAATTTGTTTTTCCCATATTCTAATTATTTTTAAATGGTTGAACAACAACATAACATTTATTAAAGCATTTTTAAAAATATTTGTTCAAAAAACAAATAATCTCTTAAACATATCAGTGCTTAAGGAATCCAAATGCAAGGGATGATAACAGTTGATTCATAGATTCTATTTTACTGTCGTATTAAACATTACTATAAACCAGAAATAAATTAACATACCGTGATTCTAGTAAACTGTTGTGGTTGTGGTGGTTGGCGATTCCTCCTTTCTTCATGAGAACGAACTCTCACCACATGAGAATGAATTGCACAGGACACACAATATTGCATCTGGATATACATCTTTGGAAGCTTGTACTCTGCATCCAATTATTAATTTATTAATTAATAAGTAATTAAAAATAGTTCCGAAAAAATGAAAGAATCCTAAGAATGCGTAGCACGTACCCTCGTAAGCACAGGCATCCTGAATATCTCTGATCGCAGCTTGCTCAACAATATTTCTCACAATGCACCTTTTGATGGCCTTGTCCTACAGTCACAATCCCAATTTTAGTGCTACCTCTGCTAATTAATATAAGAACTAATTAGAGAAAACTTAAATTGACTGTGTTTCACAAATTTAAGTTTTTTTCTACAAAATATCCCTATTTATTTATTGCAAGGGATTCCTACATATGAGAGTTTTAATACAGATGATTAAAAAGAATAGTTTAAGACCAATTGTTACAAATAAGCAGCTAAACTAGTTTTTTTTGTTGGTTATTTAGTTCTTATGTTAAATAATCAAAAAAGAGGAATGAAAATACCTTAGGACAACATTTGCCACAGTTGGAACAGTGAATAAAATCAACGTGTCCACGACCGTGCTTGCTACGCCCACAATTCCTTCTCTTAAAAGTCTGCAGAAGAAAGTGATCCGAAAGGAGGGTTCGTATAAACGAGTTTAATCGAACAAGAAAAAGAAGAGAGTAATTAAATAGTAAGCATATCGATGAAGAAATATTCGAGTCAGTAATGGTAGCTAATAACCAACCATGGCGGCTTAGACAATCTGGGCCACAGATGCACAATGTGGGGAGAGATATGAGCTCTATAGGGTTCAAGTTTTGATCAGTTTAGGGTTAGCGTTTGACAGCCTCTTTTATAACCTATAATAATAACAATTTCATACCTCATCCCGAATATAATGCAAATCATTTGATTTCTTTTTAGATATCTCCATATTATCAATTAATATTGATTAAAATTAGAGATGCGGGCGGATTTGTCAAATACCTATTTCTCTTGGGTACTTTGGCCCAGAAAAAGTTCTACAGGGTATCTCATATCAAGTTTTCCATAAATGCACTGATTTGTTGTCAGGCACCATATAGATATAGGGATATTCTGTTTGCTCAAAAAAAAAAAAGAAAAAGATATAGGGATATTCTGGGATAGACTACAAATTAAAAACTAACTTGAAAAATTATCTCACTTTAGTTTCTATAACATCTCTTTCTATATTGCTTTTATTGATTTATGGTTTCTATGATCTGCTGGCTTTGATTTTTGTTGATTTGGTTTTGATTTTCTTGATTCGGCTTTGATTTTTTTTTTTTCCAATTAACCAAATTTCTTTTTTTTTTTTTTGCATGATGTGTTTTCTCTCTCACTTCACTTTCGTGTTCACACGCCAAACTTAAGATTTAAGTATGTCGGCAAGGCGACTTGGGGTCTAAACCCATAGGCTAGAACTATTTCTATAACATCTAACTTTTTTTTTTAATAAAATTATTAATTTAGCATCAATCCTAAATTTCATGCAAGTTTAACTTGGAATTTACATTTCAGCCACGATAGAGAAATTCATCTTGTAATTGATTATTAATTAATTAACATTTTAAAGATTTTTTTTTTTTAAGTTCCTCCAGTTCGCTTGCGGCAAAGACTTTTTTTTTGTTGTTGTCCTAAATGGGCCAAAAGGATAAAGGCCCTGAAACTGAAAATAATATTCAGACCAGCAAAGAAAATCCAGAAGCCCAAAAATAACACCAAACTGGTTTGGAAACAAAAATAAACCAAAAAAGTGTCATAAATATCCATATTTTCATCTCTACTTACTGCGGTACACATAAAAGTTAAAATAATTCAGCACCTTTATTGATATCATTGTCGCTATATATATCCCATCGATCCAACTGAGATTTTACTTGCATTCAATTATTTAAATGTTTTATCTTCTTTTTTTTTCCCACTTCAAAACACATTCACGGGAGCATCACAATCAATGACGATGCATTCTACGCGGATACCATACATGTATGTATTTTGAATTAAAGTAGTCAGTAACCTATGATATTTTTAATTCGGCAAAAAAAGAAATCGATGATATTTCTAAACAGGTCCATTACTTCCGAATTTCCAATTGTTTCATCCACAACGTTATTATGAATTCTGAAGGCATGCTTGGTCCGCAGTACTGATATATGATCACTTAAACGATCCTCTAAATTTGTTTTTTGAATGAAAAGAGATCCAACATTGAAAAAAGGGCTCAACAACAGTTCCAACCACTTTATCCACGGGGTTGATGTCAGTTTCGAAGGTCTGCATTTCCAACTGTACGGTCCCAGAATATCATGTACCGGGCTTCAGTTGCCATGGAAATCCGGCATCACTGTAAATTGTAACCAAACAGAATAAACATCGCACATAAATAATAAGACGTGTAAGTGACACAGATCATTTTTCCATTCCGGCAACATACCAGGGGCTCGCCGAACAAAGGCTCCACCCTCCTTTTTCGTCTTTTTGTTTGCAGCGGCCCCCCTCTTGCAAGCATCACTGCAATAATGCACGCTCACAGATAGTTTCGGGCCATCATAGCCAACCGCCTCGCCTGCGTTCCTTACCACATGCACTTTTATTGCGTTATGCTGTACATTTATTAGCACGTAAATATGCAACTCAGAATCCAGCCAAGGAACCACAGTATATGAAATCCATCCAAAGAGCTTCCAAAATCACAGCGACAGTAACAGTTAAGAATGCATGAGTACGGTGAAAACACCTAACATCAGAATTCTCGCAATTCAGAAACAGAATTCAGCCTATGCCTAACTTGACCAACACTAGGAACTCCAACTTGATCCTAAGGATATAGGACGGACAGGAGTGAATTTTCACAGTCCGATGCGGAATCAAGCTTGAACTTGGCTAGACCTGGAACTAGTGTTAATGCAAAGCAGTAATCCGAACTCAACAATGATCTGGCTTTAACAAATTCGGCGGAGAATCACTTCAGAACCACAATTTCACAGAAAATTCGGGTCAATAACTCAGATCAGATTTCCAGAGAGCTGAGCACGCATTAAACTGCTAAGTGGACGAAAGTGCAGCGTGTGAGTCAACTTACGTGTGGCATATGAATCAGATGGATTTTTTAAGCTAACACAACAGTGAATCGGAGTTCAGTGCACTCAAGCTCACGTATGAGTTCACCGAATCATAATTCCACAACAGGTCTTTGTGGAGGTGAAGAAATCAGATCAGATTTTCAGAGAGTTAAGCACGCATTAAACAGCTACAAGAAAAAAGAAAATGTCTCAGAGTGCTCACCAGTTTACAATCAGATACCGCAGCAAGGTAGCAAAGTTTCAGTGCCCTAACTTGAACTACGGAGGCTGATTTAGCAAAAGTTTACGAGGTAACTACAAAACGAGAAATACCTTGAGGCAGAGCTTGTGACACTTTCTGCAGCGAACGAAAGGCAACTCCCGCACCTGGAAGAATCGTACAATCGCAAATGAGAAAAGTGCGCAAGAAAAGAAATCGAGCGGCAAAAAAATTCCTGAAAGCTCTTACAGTTGCGTGGAACAGTTTGAAGGGCAGAGCAATCAGCCAGATGCAGGAACGAAGGAAGAACACGATAGGAAAGAACAAGAACTGCAGCCAATTCATGTTTAGATCGCCGGCGTCCTCAGAATCTCTGTCTCTCGCTTTCTCTCTTCTCCTCCACTACAGCGTTTCTGGATTGTTTCCCTCCCTCTCTTCCCTTTTAAAGGGATTTCAATGAGTCCGTCCGTTGTCCGCACTCACCACTCTCAGTCTCCCGCGGTCCCGCCTTCTCTACCTCCTGCAGCGTGCGCTTCCTGCGTGTTTCCCTCCCTTACTCCTCTTTTAATTTAATTTTAAATAATTTTGAAAAAGGGAAAATTCCAATAAAACTACAGTTTAATTTTAAATAATTAAAAAAAAATATTAGCTTAACTTACTTTGCATTGTAAAAGGTAAACCGTTTTCCAATTATCTACCATTTATCTCAAGTTTTAATTTAGTACTTGTGTGTCTGTATTTTTTTTTTCAATAAAGCACTAATTTTATTTGTTAGCAACATGAGCCTTTGTAATTTGAGGGAATTGCAAACGAGTTTTAAGGAGGAAAGGATCTAATAATTACTTTAAAGTCTGTTAACAATTAAACGGCACATAATAATAACTTTCAATATAAGAAATAACAATTTATTTTTGATGTTTACTTGTTATTGAAACCTTAGGATAATTAAATCCTTTTTTTCAAATCTGATTCCTTGTAATTTTGTCGTTAGTATTATTAGCCCTATGCAAAAGTTAAGGGGGCGCTCAACAAATTACCACGATCGCACTGTCTGTTTGGAATCCGGATGGTGAGCTCGATCTGCTTCTGCGAGATGACAAGGGTGCCCACAGGGACACTGGGTAGGATGTTTTAAGAGGGTCTCTCCCCTCGTTTTGCATTAAAAAATACAAAGCAAAATTACCATGTTTAATTAAAAGAAATTATACAGACATCAAATTAAAAATTGAGAAAAACTATCATTATCCACAAAATGATTTTCTCTTCAACCCAGCAATTCATCATCAGGTATAGAGGTCTACATGGACAAGGTTGGACAAGATAGGACCCCTACCCGATGCCCAGCGCGAAGGATGAACGGGCTGCAAAATGCAGCCCACTACCCAGTAAAAGCCCTACCTTTTTTGGACTGGGCTAATGCAGGCTGGATAGGACGGGCGTATCTTATCTAAATTTATAACTTGAGTTATGAAATTTAAAATATTACCATATGTTTCAACAAACATCTATGTTTCAAGAATTAAACAACATTCATAATTATTAAAAACAAAACGATAAAAATTGTAATTAAAACGTTAAATATCAAATAATTTGCATCACTCTCCACAAAATTAAGAAAATGACAAAGCATATAAAAAGAATACAAGCTATATTAACATGTTCAATTATATTATTAACTTATGGTTTAATATGATTTACAGAGATCTATACGTCACATTCAGATTAGTATAATTAGTATCATTTCATGACATATAAAGTGATATTAACCTGAAAAAGTTAAAAGACAATTATAATACACAGTAAGGTAATTCAAAAAAGTTAAAATATGTGGTATATTTAAAAAAAAATAGAATTTTAAAAATGTAGAGTCTAATAATATAAGGGAGTAATGTTTGTTTTGAGTATTGGAATATAATGAAATAAAATATATTAATATTACACTACAAATATAGTATAATTTTGGAAAAAATAATATTATAATATAAATAATTATATATAATTCAGGCAGGGCCAGATGGGCAGGGCTGCATGCTATGCCCACGGCCCGGTCCTACCCGTGATTAGCCCACCTCAAAAATGTTCATTTTTTCTTAGGGCTGGATTTTTTTGGGCTGGGCAGGATATTTTTTCTGGTGGGCTTGGGCGGGCACACCAGGCAATTGGGTTTCATGAACACCCCTAATCAAGTGTGCTGCAAGTGTGAAAAGGACGACCGGAACACAATAACACGATCCAAATTTGATACTCTTTCGAGTTTTTAATATAGAACTTAATTATTAAGTTGATTTTGGTGCTAAATATAGATATATTTATCATATTTATCAATTTTTAAAAATTATTCCTATTGATATTTCTTCAACTATAATTAAATAGAAGAGGAAAAAAGGATATTAATTACTGTTTCTCATCCTAATTATAAGACTGTGTTTGTAGTCTCCAAACAAAGTTTTATAATTAGGACCGGAAATAGTATCAAGAAAGATGATTATGGTGTTTAAAAAAAATGTCATATTTCTTATTATTATTTAATTTGTCAAACATTCTTAACATAATCAAATTATATAAATAAGTCTTATATTAAGTATGAGATGAGATGATTTTTACTTTTAGTTTTCAAATAAGTAAGGAGCATTGCTAAAATTGGGACTGTTGTCTATGTATATGAGTCTCCTTGAGACAATTGAAGTGAATCAAAATGCCACAATCTTGGCCTTCAGAAATTACCACAGGGAGCATTTTTATTTTGAATCATTTGAGTCTTCTACTTCGTTTTCTTAATTTTCCATTCATGTCCTCCGCTTTGTTTCATTACTGATTTTTTTCCCAAAAAAAAAAGTCGAGGTCTCTATATTTTATTATAAAAATGGATACAAAAGCTAAATTATTTTAGAAAATTTTATTTGGGAAGCTTTTATTTAATTATTTAAAAATATGATTTTTCTTGGGTCAAAGCATTGTGATGAGACCTCAGGCTTATACTCCACTTTATTGGGCCCAGTAACGAATGGGCCCTAACAAGCTCACCAAATCCGCTGACAGGCCTGGTCCAGGCTTTAAAGTGGATTTGGGCCCAATGATCTGTAAAACCAAAAATTAATCAGGCCCATAAATATGATCAATATCAAATTGTCATTGTACCAAAAAAAAATTCAGATTATCAACATAGAAGTAGACTATAAAATGCGTATAATATTAATAGAAAGCGTAAAGTTACATATTACATGAATACCTACCAAGAGAGATACCTACATTTAGCGTATAACGGTGTCTCAAATAGAATTATGTACTAGGAGAATATACATGCTCAGCCAAAAAAAAAAAAGGATGAAGTTACCATGTGTCCGCTGCCAAAACAAAAATCCAAATATGCATTAACTGAAGCTCGATTATTTTTGCATCTGAGAAGAACCATGATTTTTTTACTGCTGCATCAGGCTTTCTTTGGTTTTGTGGCAATCGTCTTTTTTCTTTTTTGAATATTGTTCCGTTGATTACCCAGATTATTGATGATGTCGCGTGACTGGTTAATCGGGTACTTTTATCAATTAAAATAAATTCTATCAACTTTGACTAATGGTCAACTAACAATATTATCATAGGTCACTTGTATATTTATCTCCTGCACTCGTACCTGAAGAAAAAAACAATCATTTTTAACTACAACCCCCGGTCCTAACTATAAGATATTGTTTATTATTAGTTGACAAACTTAAGAAGGTCTTATAATTAGAACCGGTAGTAATAATCAACATCAAGACATGTTGCTACATGTTTTCGCTGTAAAAGCGGAAGGCAAGCTTGTCAGCTAATGATGCTATCACAAGCTTTATTTGTGCATGTGGGCTAATTTTATGATTGAAGACCGATCGATACGCATGTAAAACACGATACTAGTAGTATGGATGCATACACTATTGGTATCGTTGGTTGCTCATTTTTAGTGAAAACTAACAGGACTGTCTTAACTGATGAGTCCATAATTGGCATAGCGTGTGATATAACTCAATACAACATATTATTTAATATAAAAATTAGTTAACTAATTTGAGCTGATTAAGAAAATTTGTTAAGTTAGTTATCTATACTAAATAGGTGTTATTTTTTCTAAAATATACTACTTCTTGTCCTAATTATAAGACCTCGTTTGTATCTACAAATAAGATCTTATAATTAGGACCAGAAGTAGTACTTACTAATCAAGTATATTATCTAGAACTAGCATTATTATAAGGATTATTTTAAAGAAATGAATAAATATAAGAAAACAAGTTAATTGAGATTTTATATTTATGATCAAAATAAAAATTAAATGAGCTTTTACATTAGGAACTGAGGATAGTATTATACTAAAAAAAGTGGCCATTTCCGCGATTCGTCTTTTTTTTTTTTTTAATTTTGCTAACTGTATATTGCTATTATTGATTTACGGTTTCAATTATATGTTTTTGTTGATTCGGTTTTGATTTTTGGGAAAATTTCAACTAAGAAATTGCAGTTGGTAATTAATTTTAGATAGCCCCCAAAAAATTCTAAAATTTTAAGGACCTAGGGGGTAAATTGAAATTAATTGTACAACCCATTTTACAGAAATGCCCTGTGAACTGTATCTGCTAAAAAGGAAGAAGAAAAAGGGGAAAAAAGAGAGCTTGGTGGGTGAGGTAATGTTAAGCTGACTTGTTGAGTATAGTTGGATTGTGATAGTTGAATAATGTAGAAATAAGTGTTTAAATGAATGGGTAAATAAGTAGTGAGGGAAAAAAAATCTGATATAGCTTTTAAGTTTAGAGAGAGATTATTATCTTCTTCTTTAAAGAGATATTGTTATCTTCTACTTCTTTGAAATTAATAAATGTGAGATGTTAATGATTTTTAAAAAGTGGGTGAGAATGGATAAACCCTGACTGTAATATATTATTGAAGGAACTTAAGAAATGAGAACTTAAAGGAAAATGGGTGAATGTATTGAAATGGGTAATATGAAAACAAAACATGCAGAAAAATGATAACTTGCAATTGTGAAAATATGTATTCGGATTATAAATTTGTAAATTAGAGTTGTGCAGGAAAATGACAATTTAATGTTATGAAAACTAGTATTTCTATTACAAACCTGCAAATTCATATTGTTAACATATACTGTCTATTATTATTATTAAAAATTGATTGAAATTGATAGTTGAATAATGTGCAGTAACAGATTATAAATAGCTAATGGTGGTGAGAAACAATTATTTTGAAGACTGTTTGAAATTAAGTGCCAACCGCGGTTTTAATTGAAATTTTCCCTTGATTTTTGAAGTTTTATTGATCCGTCATTGGCACTGATGGAGAGGAGACGGCAAAAC